AGGAACCCATCATTGATCTGGAAGCCCTAAGACAGTGATGACTCGCGTGCTGTAAGTGGGGGGAGCGTGGGGGGGGGGCGTATGCAGGCGTGCCATACCCATAATGCAATGTGTGACTCCCCCAGTGTGCATGCGCGTACTACAGGTGCTCCCCCCATTTTTGCATGCTTTTTTCGCCCTCCCCAGTCTTCAGCGGCTTTATAGGAGCCTGGGGAGGGCAAAAAAACTCTCCACCCCGGAAGCCCTACGGAGGCTTCAGCGACCTTCAGGAGGCTTCCCTGAAGCCTCCGGAGCAGTCAAAATGACCCTCCGAGCAAAGCGGAAGTACGTTCCCAAACTTCCGGTTTGCCCGTAGGCCCGGTTTTATGCTCTCTTGAGGCTTCCGGGAAGCTCATGAAGCCTCCGGAGGGCCTCTGGGGGGCGAGGGAGGCTCTTTTCACCCTCCTCAGGCATCTATAGAGCCTCTGGAGCCTGGGGAGGGTGAAAAATGTGTGGAAGGAGTAAAAATCTCCACTCCAGTGCATTGCAGAGCCTCCGCTAGGAAAGGAGAACATGGGGTGAGCCAGGAGCCATTTAGGTGGTTCTGAGCTAACGGGAGGGTTGATTTCACTCATGTTCGGCTGCATAAGTTGGTTTGGGAGGCTCCAACCATCTGGTCGGCTACTGGGTGATTGCTTTTGTCTTCTCCAGCCGTGTGTTGAAATAGCCCTTTCAACCCCCTCTGGCTCAGACAGCATTTCTCCAGACGCTATAAATCTCCAGGTTTCCTCCTCCACAGCTTCCCATGCAACTTTGGAATGTTTGTAGATTGTGTCCACACAGAAAAGCGACCCATTATCTGCTACCATTCCCATGGGCTCTATCTTCATCTTCGCTGATATTTTACGCTGACCCGGGTCGGGTCAGTGATGGGAGTCAGCACCCCTCCCAGCACCCCCTGCAGGGGTAGATGGTGAAGTATTTTAAAGGAGATTCGGGTTAATGCCAGAGTTCCAAATAACATCCAAAATTAAATCAGAGTCCAAGGCAAAGTATTGCTCAAAGTTCCAATTTATTAAGAGAGTCATTTTGGAACATCTGGGAAAACCCAAATCTGAAAGCTTCCTGGTTTTCCCCACCCAGTTGAAAGTTCAGGATCCTGCCCCCACACCCACAAGTCCATCACATGGCCCAATCTTCCACTGCCATGCTTGCAGTTCCACCCATCCAGTTCGGGTCAGGTGCAGAGGTGTAGAGGACTTGGATTCTAGGGTTCCACCACAAAACCACGTTCGACTATAGGGTGCTCGACGAAACCGCGTAGCTGACGTCATCACAGCGCGACGAAAAAAGAACGCTGTAAACGCTAAACCTAAAATTAACCCCTAAACCTAAACCTAACCCCCCTAAACCTAANTAACCACTGCGCCACCTCGGCTGCTTAAGCAAAAGCGACCGGTGCTTGCTGGAGGCAGAGGCCTGAGCAGCACCCACGAATCAGCTGTTTTGTGAATGGAGCGGCTCAGCTGATCCCATTAAGGGGCCAAGAAGCCCTGAGCTGACTGGGGAAGGGAAGGGCTGCCTCCTGTTCTGGCTAAACCCAACCCTTCACTAGAGCTTATTTTCAAGGGAGGGCTTATATTTTTGCCCACCCCCAAAAAAATTTCATGGCCTTATTTTCAGGACATGTCTTATTTTTGGGGAAACACGGTACATGCTTTTCCAAACTAGGATAGAATTCTTACCAGGAGCAATACATATATTTTATAAAAGAAAGGCAACTGTGGGCCACTCAACTTGAACTTAGCCCTTCTGGAGGTCTGTCCCAGTCCTCATAAGGCATTATGTGGAATTTGTCTGTAATGGAGAATGAAGCAAAAAAAAAAAAAAAAGATAATTCCTTAGGGAAAAAGAAAAGAATGAAAGGAAGAGATTGACGAATATTCTACAATTTTCAAGGTCTTGGCAATTCCACATATGGAATCCAGATGTCTACCCTTCCTTTCTAGCATCTTCTCTTGCAACTAAAGACTGGAGTTTTGGGAGAATGACGACTTTGAAAATGGAAAGTGCTAGTATGGAACCTGAAGAACACGAATTCACTATCAGTCTAACATTTATAGATAGGAGAGACACCATCATAATCACAGTTCTAGTCTAACGCATGAATACTGTAAATAGGTCATTATGAATCTCCTCATATTATGAGTAAAGAACTGGGGGCTGTGTTTGGGATTAAGAAATGTTTCCTGAAATCAAAACTATATGTGACATAAGAGATTTACAATCAGAATCCCCTATGCTTTAAAATCAATTTTAGGGAAGCCACATGTGGCTATCAATCTGTTTGAAGAAGTAGCAATAGGAAACAGGGACTAATTATTTCCTTATATGTGTAATCTCCCCCCTCTCTCACGCACACACACATACCAATTGCCATACTGTAGGATATCTCCCAACACATCAGATTCAAAAATAAAAACATGGTTTATTCATTGGAACACAGCATTCAATAACCTACTAGAATAACCTCGGGACTTTTTTTTAAAGAATAAGTTTGGATTTGCACTACTTTCCTTAAACAGAAGTATGAGAATTGTCAAGTGGGAAGATATGGGGGAGACTGCCATCTGAACTAAATATTTTATAGGTAATTGCCAAATTGTCCATCCAGACAGGCTTTTCTTAAGCCATTTAAAAACAAGCCACCATGAACAAAGGAAGGAGCAATTTAAATGGCAAATATGGCAATGCTCAAAAATAGAATGTAGTGTTCTTGACCAGATTAAAGGCTGCAGCCTTTAAAGGATGGAATGGCCAGTTAAGCCCACTTTGGACATGATGCAGCTTAATTAACTGAGACAAAGTGAGCTTTATGGTAGACCAATTATTTTCTAATTTTATTATATGCCTTCTTGCTTTCTTCTTGAGAGGGGCTGAATTTTGACCTGCCTCTTTTCACTGATTGAAAATTCTTGGATCTATCTGCAAAACATGTGTGTTATTGAATAGTAAAACATTGCCAGCATGCATTTTCAGATCAAATCGTTTTTGCCATTTTGTACTAGTTAGGCATTCAAGCAGTTCAAAAATTTCTATCTGATTTGAGATGAAAATTAATTCCCCCAATACTGGAATTTTCCCCACAGGATGAAAATATTTTCCCACCAATCATGACTCTGGCTTTTAGCATTATTCCACATCCTTATATCCATGATTCACTTTGTAAATAGATGACTCATAGCTATTACAGTCATGGGTCTCTGCTGCCAGTTTTGCAGAACAATAGCCAGTGACTTGTTCTGAAATTGAAATGTTTGGTAGACAGTATATGAAAAGTAGTGGAATGCTAAACAAATGCAGGAATTGTGTAGTTTCTACCGCCTTGTTCTGCTGGCTTTGCCTTATCATTTTCTTTGTTCTTATTTGCTTCTAAATACTATATATTCCCAAAGGAACAACACAACATTTTAACAGAAATTCTGTTTTTAATTATTCACATATTATAACCACTGTAAGTGCTGTGGAAAACCTAGAATTCAATTATTCACAAGCCATTTTTATTTTCCTTCCAATTGAATTTCTGCTCTCCTATAATAGGTATTGTTTATTTGTGTCAAATATTAAAGTATTTATTCCTAACACTTAGTTTACATTTTGTAAACTTGTGACAAGAATAATGTTATTCTTACTCTGGAGCCTCAGGGTCTGCCATATTATTTAGGAGAGATTTTACCCAGCTTTGGTTTGCCAACTGCAGCCTTATTCAACCAGTATTCCCAGATAGTAACTCCCTGACTACTACATTGTCCTCTACATAGGATGGCCCTTGGAGATGATTTGGAACAGGGGTGGGTTCCAGCAGGCACTACTGCTGGTTCGTTCGTGTGCATGCTGCACGCGCATACACAGTGCATTTAAAATTGTTCTGCACATGCGCAGAACTCAAAAACAAGATGGCGTCGCCTATGGCGCCACCCAAAGAACCAGTTCAGGAGTGTGGCAGACCTGGGTCACTGCCAGTTCCAGCAACCCAGGCTGCAGAACTGGTCCGAACCGGTAGGAACCCATCATTGATCTGGAAGCCCTAAGACAGTGATGACTCGCGTGCTGTAAGTGGGGGGAGCGTGGGGGGGGGG